TTGTCTATTTCTGCTTGTACTATCTAAATTCTTGCAAGTTTTTCCTAGATGTCTGTTTTAATTTCTTTTTCATAAAGTAATATATAAGTCAATACATTATGAAGAAAACTACCAGGGCTATAGCTGTCTTTTTGGATTATTACATATTCCTCACTTAACTAATTTTAAGGTACATCTTCAGCCCTATTAATTTTCTTTGTCTGTGGGGAATGGAGTGCCTTAGGCTTAATTCAACAGCACAAAATTATAAGTATCTTTATGCATGTCATAACATAATATATGGGCAACAAGAGAACATGTGATCCTTCAAGGGCTGTCCTTGCACCCCCATCCCTTGATTAAAAGTAAAAAAATTATACCCAATTTATATATTTTAGGAAATTGACTATTCTCTTCTGTGCTAGTGTTTATGGAACTGATTCCTTAAGTTAACCATTGAATTAGAAAAAAATAAACTGGAATCTAGCTTGTCTTTTTTCAAATGTTAAACAAGTGTCCTCTCAACCAGCATTCTCTGTTATTTTGAGGGCATTGTGCAGTACAGGCTGTATCAAAAATAACTTCATTATCTGCTTTGATAATCACTGTTGCAAATTTGAAGCAAAACTACAGTTGATTGAGTTACTAGCAAACTAGCATTGCTAAAGAGCAAAGGAACTTGTTGTTGTTAAAACAGTGATGAAGTTAAAAGTATTTGACAATAGTAATTTTTTGATATACAGTGCAACATTGTTGAATATCTGTTAAATTATTTTAGGTATCTAGAAAGAAGGCTGTAAAGCACCTTTGAAAGTAGGTTACCCGTATGTGGCTTATGTCACAATGAATTATGTAATCAATAATCAGCACTGAGTTAGTAGTTAGGGTGTTTGCTACTTGTATATAAACATTACTGACTGCTTGAGATTAGTATTTATAATCTCTGCTATCTACCACACTTTAATGGATCCTTCTACTCTTTTTGGTTAACTCCTTCACTAGCTGTAGTGAACAAAATGGTTTATAGGACTACATACTCTTCTGTTGGAATCCAATGGGCCCTATTTGTGTGTAGTTTATTATGTAATGGTTTAATAGGCCCTACTGGTGTTCTTTTTTCTACTGTTTCAACTGAAAAATAATTCTATATACAGACCAGCTTGGTATCATTACTATTAGTTTGACACATCAAAATACAAATAGTTATTTACATACAATGTATTTTTTGATTTTTTATTAGTAATGGTGAAACACACTTGAGATCTTTCTTGCAAAGTTTTAAGCTACAGGCCTTGCTTCTTTCCAGGTACTTGTTAAAATCAGTTTGTTTTTACTGAAAGATTCCTTCCAACCTGCAATGCTGACCTTTTAGTTTTTCTCTCACTGTGTTTTTATTTTAGTGGATCAGCCAAACAATGCAAAAAAATGAGAAAAAAAAAGTTAACTAAAATATGTCCTAATTTCATCTGTATAAAAGAAAAGCAAACAGTGTTGGCATTAGGAAGATTGGTCTCTCAAGAAACCCACCTTGATCAGAAATGTGTAAAGGTTTTATATTAGTGTTCATATTTCTTTTTCTGGTAAGAACTATAGGGAAACTATTGTATTAGGTGTATCAAAAGAAAAGTGAGTCTGTTAACCAGTAGTGGAGTTATAGCAGTTGGCCTAATGTATACCCATAAAGTATTATGTACTTGTAACAAATGAAAATCTTTTATGATGTTTTGGAAGCAGTTAATATGGCAGAAAATATCTGTAATTGTACATAAAAATGGCTTTTGATATTTGTGTTTGAAATATCCTCTTACGTTATGGTTTTTTTTGTTAGCTTTTAAAATAATATGTCTAACTTAACACTTCAACTTTGGAATAATATTATACAGTTATATTTACATATCTTTAGTGAAAACAACTGATATTAGTGGATGAATTTGAATTTTTTCTTGTTTTGCAACTTATGTCTGTCATTCTCCTGTTTATCAATTTACATCGTCTTTATACTGCTACAACCAAAAATATTTACAAGATATTTACTATGCCTGATTTTTATGGTGAAATTTTGCTTATCATTTACAAAGTCAAAACTTCCACTTCAAATGTTTTTAATCTTCTTTTTTTTTGTTATATCATTTATACATCATATTTTTTAATGATAGTTCACACCTAAAACAATCTGTACATTTTAAGCTATGTTTACTTTTAAACATGATTTTTTTTCTATTTGGACAGTGTTTTAATGAAGTATATGTTTCAGAATTTTCAGAGGAGTAATATTCTAAACATTTGAAATCCACAGAGTGAGAGGTTAATAAAATAACAACATTCTAACTCATTACATTTGTGTATCTCAACTATACTTTAGGAAAATTTAGTTTTGCATAATTTTTTTCTGTATAAGGATACTGTAATCATTAATGTTTACTATACTGTAGCTGTACCCTGCTTAAATTGTTAAACTTTTACCAAATCAAGCCAAAAAAAAACACATTCTTGTTTTTCAACATAGTTTTTGTAATTTTTTTAACTATTGCCACTTAGAGTTAAGAAATGTGAAGGCCAGTGGCAGAGTGTGCATGCTTTGTGAAAGTTTTAGATTAAAATTTGCTATTTATATATTATCTGCCTTCAGAAATGAGGCCCATACTGTTGTTATTTCAATGCATGTGGGTTATCATCAACCGAGCAATGTTCTGTTGCTAGTGGTAGGGCAAATAGGATTTTTGGTTGTATGTACAAAAAATATGGAACACAAGTCTCCACAGGTTAGGCTACATTTGGAGTATTGTGTCCAGTCTTGGGCTATTTACCTTAGGAAAAACATTGAATTGGGATGGAAAGATTGTCATACAAGGATAGGTTAAGATCTCTGAACGAAGAGATAGAGGGAATCTGATTGAGGTGTATAATATTGTTAGGGGAATTGATAGTGTCGATGCATTATCTTTTTTGTGCATATAGTAGTCAGAATGGTAGAACTGGGGGATACAAATATAAATTTTGGCAAAATAGGAGTCATCTTCAGCTAAGACAGTTTTGGTGGAAACAGTATGTTAAAACTAGTATAAGGGAAGTATTGTTAAAGATAGGAATGATAATTGTCGACTTCGAGTGTGTGTATATATATATATATATATATATATCAACAAGTCCCTTGTTGTCCATAAATGTTATCTCCTTCCTTCCTCATAAATCAACAGTAAACTTAAGACTATTACTGATTTGAGATTGGTTGGTATCAAACAGTGCTATCTCCAGATTTGTGATATTTGCCTGTCTGTAGCATGTTAATGAGGGAACTTCCTTTTTTGTTTTTGCATCAATCTTTCTGACATCCATGCACTAGCAGATATTTACCCATTATCGAACAGTATGGAAAGTATATCAATTTTGGAATCTAAAAATTAAATGTATACAAAAAGAATTAATATTGGGTTACATAGGGTATACTACACCTACTGTACCTTTGGCATTATACAATGTGAGGAATTAACCATTATTTCTTCATTCAGAAACAGGCATCTGTTGGCACATAATCATTACATGTATTATAATATCATTACATGCACACAACTTCTGTTAATAATCATTTAAAAGTTTTCTACTTATTTTTTGTATCCAATCATCTTGCCTAAGTTTACAGTGTATGATTTGACTCAACATATTTACATAGTGTTTATTGTTGATTGATTTGTGACATATGGTTATAGCAATTATTGTAAGTGTATGACACCGACATATGCTGAGCCGTTGGATATAACAACTTTTCCACCAAGTTAGAAAAAATAAGGGAATTCTCATTAATAGTTTTTTACCTAGTACTGCTTATATAGGCAATACCACCTCGGTGTCAATGTGCTGATGCCTTATTTGATTCATCACTCAGCATGTGAATGTCACTTGTCTAGTGTATATGGATTGTATAATTGGTCTTTATTTGTTTGTTAATAAACAGTTCCTAGTATTACATGATGTTTCTCTATTGAGCTAGTTGAGACTATTGTATACAACCTTGGCAATATGTAATTTTAGATCTTTACAACATCTATACCATATACCTGTATGTCTCATCCATGATTTAAGTAGCATTTCATTTAAGACTTGCATGTTTAACTTGGTCCTTCTAATAATTTCTGACATTCAGTGATAAAACTACTTGACAGTGACCTATTACAGACAGTGTTTTTGAAATGTTGTTAATGTACTCATCTTATTGTAAACTCCTATTGAACAAGTGTAATGTTTAATCACACTTTCCACTTAAACCTTTTTTAGGGTTTATGTTTTAATTTAATAGTTTTGTGGTATATATATATATTGTTCTTATTTTCCATAAATGTTTTTGTATTTTCTAATTCTGTTCAAAAGGAAATCCATCAAAAGATCATGAAAAGGATTTTGTTAGATTGAAATACAAGTGTTGTTGATATGGTACATGTGTGCATACATGTGGTGGAATCTGTACTAGTTACATAAAAAATAAAATCTTATGCTTCATAAGATGGGTAAATTTGGTTGTGCTAAAAATGTGTGTTCAGTTTCCTCCCAGTTTTAGTCTGTTTCTTTGGAAAATATTTTAACTTGATAAGAGAGATGGTATACAAATTTTCACATTTTTTAATAATGAGAAGTAAATTATATGGATTTATAAAACTGCTGAGGATTTTTGTGAAATAATTGCTGCAAAAATATTTCAGGAAGATCATTTTGATATCAATAATTATAATAAGGTTGGTATCAGTGAAGGCCAAGATAATGGTTACTTGCATTGAGAAAAAATTATATTCATTATTGGAAACTGTATTGTGGGTGACCAATGCTAGGAAAAGTAAATGGTCAAGAAATGAATTGTTTTTTAAGTTGTATTTTTGCATTCTAGTATACAGTTAATTCAGTTAATTGTAATTTTAACAAATATCCTGTTCATAGTACTTTGTAGTCATTTGCTCTCTATAACAAAATGTGCTTTTTAAAAAAAAATATTATTAATCTTGGGTAATTTTTTTTTCTTTTGTATTTTCTAGGGTCAAGTTTATACACCTTCTGAATTTAATATAATACAACAAGACTCGACCCTACCATCAGGAACAGTTCAGCTCTATGGGCCAAATTCAGAATACAGCAATTTCCTTCCAGAACATCATCAGCCTCTGCCTTCTTTTAATGGCCAGATGGATCCAAATAACAGTGCTATGCTACTGGAGCAAGAGACACCCAATATTTCAGTAAGGCATCAGATAATGAACAATCGTTTAAAGTCTCTTATCCAAAGTCGTCAGACTCAAAAAGAACAGGTTGGAGTGACTGGGCAATTACGTGGATCTGACCAGTTCCAGATGGGTTCAGAAGATTCAGTGAGCCTCCTAGATCATCAAGTTCTTCTACCTTCTATTCCTGGGGTTCCAATTATGTCAAGGGAACCAGAACTTCTTGATCCAGCCCAACAGATCAGCTATATTATGTCCATGCCAAATTCAAACCCAGTTGCTTCAGGAGCAATAAGAGTGATTAATCCCCAGGAGAGTGAATTTATGAAAGGATGGCATATGGGCATGGAAGAACAGTTAGGTGAAACAGAGCAAAACTCCATTTTGCAAGGTGACATTAAAGGTGAAAGTCAAGTAGCACAAATGATGGTTCAACTTGGAAGATTTCTTGGTACCCAAGAAAATCACCAAAATTTAGGAAATGAGATATTTTTTAGTGGTACTAGTACCTCTGATAATACAGATCAAGGAAATAAATTGGTGATTACAGACCAGAACTTTAGTCTTGTGAATAAAGAAAACCTCTTCAGCAATTCTAGACAATCATCCAAGTCTCAAGCTCAACAATCACTTGATTTTCCAGGCCCTTCAGAATCCCAGTGTCGTCAGGTTCCAACAAGCTCTTCATTTACAAACCACAGCTTTCATTCATCTACATTGTCACCCCAATTGACATCAACCCAAGTGTCACTCCCTCAAACTACTTTAAGTACAAGTTCAACAAGAATTTTAGAGAAACCAGAGAGCAGAAGACAGATGGATTATTCAGCTATTAGCTCTTCTTATACTGGCTCTTCCTCTGCAACTGGAAATGAGACTGACATAGGAGAAAATCTTGAATCACAACCTTTTTTATTGAATACGACCACATCTATGAATACATATACAAGTATTATCAATACATTTAATCTTGCTACATCTGCATTACAAATACTGTATACATCTGAAGCATCTAATCTTTTTCCTGACTCTCTTACTGATCCAGATCAAGCAGTGAAAACGGCTGCTAGTATGTTTTCAGGCTCTGAGATTAAAAGCTCTTCAATTCAAACTTCTACCTCTACTGTAAATCCTTTTCGAAGTGCATCTTCTATTTCAGAAGGAAACTCTGTTGTATCAAACATGGATAGTGGTCGGACCCATGTCACTAATCAACAGTCGTCCTCTACTGCTGATCCAAAACACCTTCCAGCATCACTTTTAGAGTCTGGTGATGAAAATTCTTTTCCTAGGTTGAGCACTTCTACAGGTTTAACTACAGAAGCATTTGTATTTACCAATATCTCCTCACAGCCTGTGTCAGTTTCTTTACCAAGTTTTCAGGACCAAGACTGGTGGGCAAGGTTAGAGCGTCTAAAGAACAACACTAAAGTGGAAGTTCCAACTTGTGAATGCCTGGGAACTGAGGAAAGTGAGTACGGGAACCAGAATCCCCTTCCATCTCTTCATGCCCCCTGTCTGTAGGGATATTGGGGATGATATTCCAATAAGCTCAGGGTGCAAAAGTTGTGCCAAACTTGATTTGACTCAAGGACCACTGTTGCTGTACTGTTGTCAGTGTAGTGAGGTAATTTTATCATGTAGCAGTGAGTTCTCATAAAAATGTGGTTTTATAAAGATACAGAAAAGAAGAAATATTACCTTAGGTTTTAGGAAAATTTCTTCTTGAATTAGAAGGTCAGCCAATTAATAATGAACAGCTTGAAACTACTTTTAGATGTCATTTTCCTGACATTGATGGATCTAAGCATAAACATAACGGGTATATATAAATATATATATACACACTGTAATGTAAATGTATTTAAAACAAAAAGCCCAAAGGAAGGTGTTTCTCCCCATTTAACAACATTTGACTTCTACCTCAGTAATATTGGCATTTTTTTTAGAAATCATCTGTCTTCACTTTGTTCAGTTTTTAAAATGCCTTTATTTTCTTTTATCATCTTTCATATAGACAAATGCTCACAAAAATGTCTTGACCAGCTCTCAGGGAATCAATGAAAGACACTGAGTTGATTAGTTATAGTAGTTTGTTATTTTTTTTTCTTTGTTTAGTCAGTGTGGAGTCTTGCTTGCATGTTATTAATGGGCTTACTTTTGTGCCCCATATGTTGCAGTTTATTACATTTTAGTTACTTTGGGAATTGATTGTCACAGTTGATGGTTGATCACTTGTACGCTGTGAGTCCTGATTCACATAAATACATGTAGCATAAAAAGCAGTGTTCTGTATTTTGAAATTGATGTGATGTGCCATATTCGTATTTTATTTAGATATTTTGGATTTGTGATGAAAAAATAAACAGTTTAAAAATATTATTTGTAAATATGCCTCCTATTATTTTTCTCTTATCATAAAATCTTTGACATTTTGTGTCACACGCTTATTTTATGTAAGTGGATTTTTGTAAACAGGCGGCACATGTTAAACATTTAAAGGATCTCTTAAGTAGGAGTGTACTATTGATTTTTACTCATTTAGTTTTCAGCCAGTATTCAAATTGTTTTGTTTTTTAAACTTTGTCTCAACAAAAATGCAAAACATCATCAAACATACCTTAGAATCAGAAGTCTGTAACCTAGTAACAATAAAGATGTTGTAGATACTGGTCAAAACAGAACCACTAAGTTTTGGCCTAGTTCACTACTCAAACACAGGATAAAAAAATCTGTAATGTTTATCTGTAGGTCAGGTTATAAATGCTATTAATCATGATCTGCAATGCATTGTAGAAGTTATTGTTAATATTCTTTTAGCTAACACAGCTTTTATTCTTAATATTGCTAAGATTAAAGGACCATTGAAATAAATTTAAACATTTAATAACTTATTTTTCCAAATGAATATGACACAATTCTTTGTAGAATTTATTCCAAAAGTACTTTTATGCTAGTCTCATCTAATGCAGTGTTCAAAGTTCTGTAATTCTAGATTTTTTTTAAAAGTTATCTTACCCTTGAGCAAGTAATACTATAACTAAAATTATTTTCGTTAATAGTAATAATGAAGCAATTGTGCGAGTTAAAATATTTTATTGTTAGCTGGAGGTTATAAGTTATCAGAAAAATATGGCTATAAAATTTAAATGAATAACTGTTAGTACTCATTGTGTTCACTTTACTCACACTTAACACTTTAGAAAGGTAGAAGCTGATATGTTAAGTACTAGTCAGTAGTTACTTATCTGGAATTTAAAACCAAAATTGTATTAATTTTATTAAATTTCTATTTAGGGCTAGTTAGTAAGAGTTTCTGTTCATCAATAGATAAATTCTGAGGGAAGGACTATACTTAAAACTTAAACCCTCTATATTAAAAATGTTTTAAAATCATGACTCTATTATGTTTAATATAAATTGTTATAAAGCTATTTTAAAATTGCTTCAGCATTGTGGGGGGCAGAAGTAACCCATATCTAGTAATTAAAAAAAGTATGACTGCATGCAACAAGACCCCACAAACAGCAGTGCAAGAGGTAGATTTAGAGGTGTTTTTTTTTGTTTTAGAAAACATTATTTACATTTGATTATACTGTTTAGCAAACAGTATTGTACTATAATTTCACCATTGAGGGTTGCTTTTTTTTTATTTGTATTATTGGCTGTAACAACTTTTGCACCTGAGCAAAGTGGTTGTGATCAAATAAGTTTGACATTTTGAATGACCTTTGATGTACTTGTGTTCATTTGCATTTTCCAAAACTCTCTTTAAGTTAGTGTGTATATAATTTTTTTAGCTTGTATATTTATAAATATATATATTAAGTGTAATAGGATGTATTGGTTTTAATCATGCAAATTTACAAGATATTATTCACTGGTGGATTGTGGTACTGCTCTCAACCCTGCATTCCTGTTGCATGCAGTCTGCTTGCTCTTTATAAAGTTAAAAAGCTGTAATATTCTTTTACATTTTTACAAATAAGATGTTTGCTTTTGTAGTCACGTAAAAGTTAGTAATGCCTAGCATTAAACCTAAACCATTTTGGAAATGGATTATTAAAATAATCCTTGTAGTTCCTAGGATTTCCATATTCATTGTTTCTGCAATCTATTAAAAAATTCTTGGAATATTGGTTCTACTGGAGGGTTCTTTTGAAAACAAAATCTCCCTAAAATATTCCAGTTATCCTTTGTCCAGAAACTCCCTCAGTTAGTATATTCTTTACAGTATGTTCTGTAGTGAGTACACTTATCTACAGACACATCATGAAGTAATTTGTAATAAGAAACCAAATCACAAAGTACTTAAAATATTAATATTGCTACATCTTCCTAGCTTAAGAAGTTTATATAATGATATTTTTTTTATTGTGCTTTGCATGTGAAAATTTATTCTGAATGACAAAGTCACAATATTTCATAAATTATTTTGTGTGATGTATAATACTTAAGTGGCAGACTTACTAGCAAATCATGGTTTAACTAAACTTATCCTCAGCATTATGACTTAATTTTATCTTTCCAAATCACTAAGGTCTGGCTGTAGTCAGTAGAAGGCTTAACAGAACACCTCAGTATTAAGACTAGTGGTTTAATTCAAACTTTTATAATTTCAAAATGCTAAATAGTCATTACCTTTAGCCAGTTAAGCTAATGCATCTGAATACTGCAAATCTCAATTTTTAACTTCATTGAATGTTAAAGATAGAATTTGACAGCCGTGGGTTCAACTCCACTTAATCTAAGTTTTGCCAGAATAAGTCTTAATTCTACAAGACTTTGTGCTGACCTTAAATCCAAAATCTGTAGTTAAATCAATTAAAATTGGTGCTTCAAATAATAACAAAAAAAGAAAATCTGTACTTAGTTTTAAGACTCCTCCATCGACATCAGTGAACGGAAAATAGATTTCTTGCATTCAAAATATAATTGTTAAGAAGGATAAAGCATCTACCGGTATGAAAAATAAGAAACTTGTACATGCAGCTGGGTTTTAAGATCAGTGCTTTCATGCAAACTTTCCACCCAGTGGCATAAGTATACCCCTACAATTGCAGGGGTGGCCCAAGCCAAAAGGAGGCCCTAAGGGCTTGATAAACTTAATAATTGCTGACAAGGAGAGAGACATACAATTTAATTTGTTTGAGCTAAAGAGAAGTTGTGCTGTTCTGTTAAGTTAATATCAATCAGTTAAAATCGTAACTACAATTATAGGGAAATAAATGTAGGGGACCCAATTATTTTTATGCAGAAGTGGGATATCTTTTGTTGTTATGCCACTGCTTCCAACCTAGTGTTATGGTTTAATTAAGGCTTCCCAAGTGCTCAACTATGTTGATTTGGAAACTTATCAGCACATCTGCAGTTCAAGGTCAGTGGTTTATTTCACAATTTTCAAGTAAGTGCTTATATAATTGATTTAAAACTTTCCCAAGGTTGAGATATGTTTCTTTGAAGACATATCAGCATAACTCAAGTTTTAAGAGTAAAAGCTTCATTTCAAAATTCCAAAGATCCAACTGAATTAAATAGGAAACTTTAGTTTTAAATGCAGTGGTTTAATTTATATTTTAATGGTTAATTTTTTTATTCATTAAAAAAAGTAATTCAACCCAAAATAATTCATTGGCTCAAAACATTTTAGGTTTGTGACAGTTCTTCAAGTGGGATGCTTTTCTAAGCTTAAACAATTTAAGATAATACCTACTTAAAGCATGATTATTAGCCTGGCAACCCAAGAAATGTATTAGCATTCTGCTAAATCTGAGAAACACATTAACAACAAAGCTTCAAGACTTCTTCATAATGTCACAAGTAATGTTTACATCACTTAACCATTCATCAGTACATTGTATTTAATGAGTAACTTGTTAAATAGCCATACATGATGTACCCACATTTGTTTATTTCTGAATATGGATACATTAGAAAATCACTTTTCATGCCAACAAGCATAATCAAACTAACATTAAGAAACATTTAAAATTCTTCTCTTAACAAATAGGAAAATGTGTTGATTTTGTTACAGGAATATTGGTTTTGCTGAAAAAAGCATTGGGTGTGGTCGTATATAAAACATAAAGGGTTTTTTTAGTATTGTAGTATAAGAGAAAATAAGACAATTGTCTCTAGTTAAACCATTTTATATAATTGTATTAACTTGATGGAAAAGCTGGTTGAAAAAGGTCCACTATAAATTGGATATTTGTAGAAAAGTGAGGAATAAGGACTTCTTTTGTTGAGATTTTGAAAATGACTAAGGCTTTTGTGATTGATGGAGAAAATTATTCACAACTACCCTTATCTAATACTTGGATAATTATCATTTTATAGCACTGTTGTTATGGTACCTGTGTAATAGTGTGAGAACACATCCATGAAATTATTAAAGGCTGACAGCTCAATGAAATAAATCACAAAAATAGAAAGGAAGAAAATACAAAATATTTTTATCAGATTATAGAGTTACTATATTCTTGAATAAAAAGTTAAAGACCAAAAATTAATCCACAAGAAACAACACAAATCAAATTGAAAATTATGTGTAAGTTTGTAAAAATTTTAAGCTTAATCCTTTCTACATATATTTCCTATTTCCTTATATACTATTTAACTTCAGATAATTACAGATTTAATTCAATTTTGGAAAAATAAAGGAACATCAATAAATTTTTTGAAAAGAAATTCTGAGAAATCTTGTTGATAGCAGTTTATTTCATGCAAGTATACTATATTTATGAAACCCAAAAAATATTAAGTCATATATAGTAAATGTTATTTTCAAAGCATGGATAATAAAGGAACAGTAATTTTTTTTTCATAAGAAATAATAATTTGAAGCTTTAGAAACTTAAATGTAGGCTTATTCAATATTTTAAAAATGGTTTGTTTTACTTTTCAGACTTGTATGTATTAGAGTGCAAAATTAGATATTTTTAATAGTCATCTGTAATTTTTTGTGGGGGTGAAATAGTTTTACATTTTCTCCAGGTTTACCCTTTTATTTATAAGGATAGTAGCCATCATATCTTTAAACTATTCATATCTTATGTTTTTGTTCTAGAAGTCATGAACCCCCATTTTTCCAAAGGAAAGTTATAATAAGTATTAAAAAATAGCATTTGTAAGATAAACAAAACTTTAGTGGAGTGCAAGAAGTACATACATACATACATGCAGAATTGTTAAAATCTTCACAGCACAGATTCCTAACCATTAAGATATCTGTAAGGTAATCAATACACACTACTAAATGAAATAATAGTTTTTATAGATATATTTGGATTACCAAACCACGTACAGATGCTGGAGCATTTTTAATCAAGTCTGTAATGTTTAAAATAGGTTTTCAAACTAGAGAACATTAGTAGTACTAACAAATATGTCATCATACTATTATAGTACAAGTATTAGTTAAGGAATGTTCTTATTTTAAAAAGCAATGGTGTATTAACAGTTGTGATATTTTGTGTAAATTTGGAGATAATCATCCTGATTTTTTTGCAGCTAGCACTATTTAACAAGACTTTTTTTAAATTTTGAATGTATTTTTTTCCAAAATTCTTTGTTTTTGTGAGAAATATTTGTCTACTGACTAAATTTTCAGCACATATGTGCCTGTGCATGACATTTCTTCAGCTTTGTATACAAAAATATTTACATATGTTTGCTTCAAGATCATTTTAAGTTTGAAACCATTTACTTTTAGAATTTTTAGAATATTCAAAAAGAAACCAAAACAATTTGTAAACATTAAGACATATTGACCATTACTATTTATGCAGTTTTATTCATTACAAAATAGTCATTCACTATCAAAATGAGTAAAACTTTTATACTACATATATTGATGGTAATATGCACACTAAAATTACATGACCTGTTACTCATGCTGTTGCATTAACACAGACTGATTATCCTTTTATCAGCTGTATGCTCATTGGAGAAAGTAATACAAATACAAGCTTTTACTTACAGTCATTGTAACACTATTCTGTCACCTTAACAAAACTAAGTAGTTCAAAGTACCCCTTCCCCAAACTCTACAGTACATGACTCTTGCTTATGTAACAAAGGCTCCAAAAGGATGTATGGAACTGCAAAGGACCAACTAAAGACATTCCCTAAAATGCCTCAAATAAGAATTAACTTGATCCTTATGTTCACCCTTTGAATATCATTTAGAAAGCTAGATAAGCTGATGAACTGCTTGAGTCCTTTTTAAAGCACATGCAAGACCATATTTAAAGGAATCCTATAAGCATTTAATGACCAGTATTTTTTCATTACATCAGTTGCAGGTAAGTAGAACATTTAGTTCTCTGTTTTTGTTCTCAACTGTCTACCTTAAGATAGGGAGTTAAGTTTTTTGGGAGGGATCAATTAAATTGTGTACCATTTACTAGAGATTTCAAGCTTAACAGATATCTAGAGCAGTTGTTGAAATCTTTCTCATGCTTATCTGTCTACTTTTCAAAAATAATACTTGAAAATGTAATATCAAGGAGACATATTTTGTAAACAAAAGTAGGCTCATATAAGTTGCAAAGAAATGGCATTTTATATTTATTTTTTTGTCTAGATTTAAATTATATATAAAAACCATGTTTTAGATATTGTATGACTCACTGCCATCTACTAGCAGTTAATAACTAAATCCTTAAACATTAATTAAGAAAAAAATATGTTTAAAAAAATATGTAATTGTGCAATTTTATTTTTCTCTTGTATCAGGTTTGGATAAAGCTCCATACTATACACATCTAGGTGCCGGACCATCCATTGCATCCATTAGACAACTTCTAGAAAATCGGTACGTTTGATTATTTCCAATTTAAAAATCTCAACTGTACTACAAAGTAATTTATTTCTTAAAATTAGGTACTGCATTTGTTATAATGCATTATGTTACTTAATTTTGAGTAGAGGTTAAAGAGATATGATTGTAAGTGTCCTTTGTAAAGGCAAGAAGATATTTAACTGTTGCTCTTTAAGAGAATCTTCACATGTATAACGTAAATGAGCGGCTGAAACTTTGAATATAGTGGTCATTTGGGTTAAACTTTTCTATATTTTCATCCAGGTTCACTACATGTAGTATTAAGCTCTTTTTAACCAAATGTTGAAAGATCATAAACATACTAATCCTTTTATTCAGGTAAAGTTGCATACACCAACAGCTAGTAGCTCTTATTGTTCTGGCCCTATGTCTAACCCCTTGGAGAGGGGCAAATCATTCTCAAAAGGTGATACAAGTTCTTGTGCCAGTTGATAAGAATTATGGGATTTTTTTTCCTTGTAAATATTGTTTGGAAGAGTTGGTGACGTATATAGCATTGAATGATATGATTCCACTCATTTAAGGTATTTGTTTGAATTTTGGCATTGAAACAGAATTCCTTTTGTCTTTGTCTTGTACATATATAATATAGAATTTGTTTTGTCTTCATCTTGTTTGAGCACGAGTAAAGCCCTCTCAATCCTAGCAGCCAGTTATAGTCACAACAGAAAACTAATCTGATCAGTAAGTGTTCAGACTGGCATGATTTTTGTGACTAAAAACTTTGTTTTACTTTTTCACTTATGTGTATTTCTTTCATTTGCTGTATATAATTGGTTTATTCTCTATATAGCTTTTCTGGAATCTACATTTTACAGATACTTTGAACTTATCTGTTAGTTATCAGTGAACCTGAATACCACAGACTAGTTAAAAAGTAATGATTTGGCAATGTGTGTCAGATTTGTTATTGCAGCGCTTATTTTGAACTTGCTTATTTTTCTGTTTGACTCTTTGGTACTATAACTTTTGTAAATCTTGGTCATACCATATAGAATTTATAGCAAAAATGAGAAGGACGCCACAGTTAAAGTGATGACTAGATTGAAGAATGTGACAAGAACTAGGAGAGTCACTGTCTTAGACCTAGAGCTTTTGTCAGAAATTGTGAGAGCTATGTGTGAATTCTCGATTTATTGCCAGGACCATATAGTTCATAGTATTTCTCTGGGTTGTCCAGGGCACCTATGCCACAACAATCACCAATTGCTAGTTACCATATGTTGATGCGTGGGACAGCAGAGGAGGGCCATGGTGGCTTCAAGCAACCTGAATATCACAAGACTTGTTGGGATGGTCCCTATGGAACAGTAAGGCTATCGGTAGTGAGCCCATGTATCGCAAGGCACTGATTAGAATCACCCAGGGCTGATGAGAGATGTGAGCAATGGATGAAGTTTGGTGCACGTCAGTGCAATGTCTTCAGGCATTGCAGGTGGTTTCTTGAATTGATTCATGAGTGTATGCATCCGTGGACCTCTGGTAGAAGATGGCACCCCAAAACTGTATCTGGAGGCCTAGGACTCAATATGATTTGATGATGTGGTATCACACATAACATTATCATGATGTCAACGAAGTTGAATGTTACAGTGTACCAAGTCATGCCAATGACGCCCCCCCCCCCACCCACACACACACACCAGTAGCTCAGTGGTAAGACATATGAAGACATATAATGCTATAAATCAGGATGGTGGGCTCAGTATATATAGCCCATCATATCACTTTGTGTTTAATAACAACTAACAAAAAAACCATCCCAATGAGGACTTTGTATGAGGATTCACAGATCTTCAGATTCAAGACCATGTTGCTTCACTGCAGTAGTAAAATTATAAGAGCCCATGAATAAAAGCAATGGGGCATATGTGAACCACATTACATCTGCATTATATATTTGTATCATCAGTTTTCAAGAACAGTGATTGTTATGGTGTGAAGCAGGTGAAATGTAATTGTTATGAATTTTGATAAATTAATTATAAATCAGATTCTTTAGGGTAAAAATTAATTAACAGATCATAATTCATTTTTAATTTTAACACTGATTCTTTACTTATTTATATTTTCTTTGCTATATTATTATTATATATTTTGTTTTAATTAAATATTATTCCCAAGAACTTGTGTACCAGTAAGCCAATCTTGATGGTGTGCATTATTACACACCGAGTCATCCCATTAGCCAGAGGATGACACATTCATAAGGATTTGCATGTTTCCAGATCTTCAGAAGTAAAGGGCTTCCTCCATATGTGCACAGTTTTTCAGCCATACAAGAATAGTTCAACTGATAGCAGTGATTTTCCACACCATTATTTAATTTTGGTAACCAAGTGGAACAGGTAGATCTGAATGTTTCTGTAGGAGTGGGAGAAGAGAGATCAAACAGTAGCACTTAAGACAACCACTTGATTCAAAAAATACTTTACTAACAGGAAGTAACATTCCTTGCTTACTGAACTATGAAGTAGTGTTTCATGATAGGATGTATAAGCACTACATCTTGTGATAGATAACCACTTGATTATTTAACACTTGAAACAGTTGGTTGGTTGAAAAATTAACTGCTAAAAGGACGGACATTGTGTTCCTTGCTCTCTAAGGTGTTGAGTGATATTTAGTATAGAGACCACACAAAAATTGTTAGATTAATAACTAGGAAGCTGATATCATTAGATGAAAATCCAAAGGAAAGCTACATTTTTATTAAACTTTTAATGGTTACCAGGAATTCTGACAAGTAAACTGAAAGTACACTGCAGTTTCTTATTAAATGTTGGTAAATGTTTGCTTGTATAAGCTTCATGAGTGAACTCGCAATCTTGCCCATAAGTCTATGTGACTTTATGTTGTGTCACTATGCAAGATTTTGCCTGATAGTTCAGTTCATATATGCCAGTCTTTTCCAAAATTCAGTAAGGGAGTTGTGCTCTGACACAGCATTAAAGATTAACATAGACTGTATAAATCAGGCAAAATGTTTATCATATTGCTAGATTTTTGCATGAGTTATTTTTTCTGTTTATCTGAGCTAACAAGTGTTTCAGGATTCCTAGATTGTAGTACCACCAGGATATAGATAGTGATTCAAACTAAGTACTATTTTATGATTTCATATGTTTACTGTTGGTCCTTGTACACCTATTACACTGGACTGTATTCTTATGCATGTATTTTGTAGTTGACAACATGAAATGTGACCAATTTGGATGTTTGTTGCAGAATAGGCCATTACTGCTTATTTCTGTTTCATGACTACTTTTGTTTTTGTGGTATTGTTTAACATGGTGCTTGGTGGCTTTTACTCATACTTTAGCACATGTGAAAAGCTAATTAATGGTGACATTATCTGCTGTGGAAACCAGGCTAGCTACTTAATAATGGTATCATGTACTGTAAATATGCATTGCTTAATTAATATGTGACTATGGATTTAAAACTGTGACAGCATAAGCATGTTTCTCATTACATAAACATACGTAAACTGGTTTTAATAAATATGTATCCAAATGTGATATATAAAAGTATACATTTTTAGGCTGATAAAGTATTGTGCCTTGAAGTATTGAAATTTGTTTTAAAACTTCTGTTATTAGGTTATACTATATTGAAGTAATGAACATGGTCAACTTGTTCTATTCTGTGCTGTAGATGAATCAATATTTTCAGTTTTAGTAAATACGATTTTTGTAGATTGAGTAACTCAGTCTTTATATGATCATATACTCATTAGAAGTTAAAAGAAAGATAGTGTGCTTATCAGTTTCAAGTAGTTTTGATTTAGAAATATGTTTGATTTGTGTGATTGGACAATTTCTTAACTTTGACAGGTATAACTCAATATTTTAACTTGATATAATTTCTGAACAAGGTAGGCATAATTCACAAACTTTGTATGGGCTACACAAATATATTTTTTCATTTATTTGAAAAGTCAGCCATGATTTTACTAATTTATTCAGGTTATGTTTCACCTGTATCGGAAAGCAAGTTGAGTTTTGAGTTGTTTAGCCCTGTTTGATCAGGGAAATTTCAACAACAGACATAGGGAATTGGTTTCAGTCTTCACCCTACCAGCAGATCTAGGGTTCTGCTTTAAGCAACCAGACATTGGTGGGAAATATCATGTTTATGATATGGCAGCTGGAGGGATTGCTGCAAAATCAGTATATGACCATTCTGAATCAAAGTAGTTGCTGACTGGATTTTATATCCACAGGTGCTGGTTTAGCATTCTTCAAGCAAGGTGCCAGCTTGCACCTGTGCTTATTCCATTTCTGTCACTACCACCTGGTTGTGACTTCAATCCTGTGTTACTAACTGTACCCTTTACCTTCCTATTGCTGAAAATTTTCCAACTTAGCTTGTTAATGGAGTCAAGAATCTTGTGAATTGCCTGACAATCTATTGCACTCATGAGAGAACTGCAGTAAATCAGCCAACAGGCTTCAGCCTTTTAGCCAATGTTCATCAAATCCTTGCTTGGAAACTGAGCATCACTTGCATACAGTAACGTCATGAGTGATTTGTCATTCATTTGTCTGCATGATCAGCTTGTGATGATAAAATACAACCACCACAGTCTACATGAGTGATGGTGAGCCAAGATCTGACTGTAGGAGAAGGATCTTGAGACCACCACCACATCTGGAAGAGATAGGGAGTAGCAAAATACTTGAACAGCCATTATGTGTAGCAAAGACAAGCAGAATTGTATATATGTCCAGTTTGTTGACTGTTTTTGTATTTTGAATGTATTTGTACTTGTTTATTTGTATTTACTTTGTTTTAAAATTCTGATTTGTAATGCTTAATTGTCTTTTTTTTGTTTAATGTATTAGTTGGCCAGCTGTTGTATGTCCTTTTTTGTGACTTAATTTTTATTTTTTATTTTCAATTCTGCATTGTGATTTTGAGTTTATATTAATTTTATTTTGAATTGAGTTTTATTTATTTTGTTGTAACTGGTCGCTGGAGTTTTTGTTATTCCTTGTTGTCCACGTGTAGGTGTCATACTGTCTTATGTACCATCTGAAGGAAACAATTGTGGCATTTTGTGACATATAATTCATTTATCATGAACTCCACCCTTGCACAGCTAATCTAGAATGTTTTATTAGGTAGATGTATTCATTAAAATATTTCAAAATTTCTGCATGTAGTATGACATTCTTATTAACCAAATGTTGAAAGATTCTAAACATGCATTAGACTTTTTACTCAAATAACATTGCATATGCCAAGAGCTAGAAACTCGTATCACTTTAGCTCTGTGTCTGACCCATCTTAATGAATGGTACAGATTCATGTACAAATTGATACGAATTAGGTGTTTTTCTTCCCTAAAAATGTTATTTGGAATAGTTGGTTACGTATGCAGCATTGGATTCTAGTTTACTGCACTTTTTTCTTTGAATTTCAGGATTAAATTAGAATTCCCTTTCTTTTTATTCTGTGCAGACATGATACAGAATTACCTTTGTCTTGTGTAGATGTAAGTAGAAAAGCCTCCTCTCAATACCAGCAGCCAGTAAAAGTCACAGAAAATTGTAAGTGAGACAGTAAGTGTCAAGACTTGCACAATTCTTGTGAATAAAAATTGTGTTTTACTTGTTCTCTTGATTGTGTTTTCCTCTGCTGTTGGTGTTTGAGTTACTCTTCGCATAACATTTCTGCATTCTGTGTGTTTAGGATACTTTTGAACTTGTCTGATAGTTATCAGTGGACCTGAATACCACATTTATTTTTCGTGTTGTTTATTCATTTATATGATATAATATGTTGTAGCTAAATATGTGTAACTAGGTTTTATTTAATTATATGTGTGCTGTGTAATTACAGTTATTATGCATATTTTGTTATAAAAATTACTTTTTATTTCTCTAAGCATAAATTACATATTTATTTTTTGTGATTATTTGTATCAAGTCTCAAAGAGAGTGGAAAAGCTGTGAGAATAGAGAAGGTTATTTATACGGGAAAAGAAGGAAAGACTTCACAAGGATGTCCAATGGCTAAGTGGATAATAAGAAGGTCAAGTCCAGATGAAAAGTTGCTTTCATTAGTGCGACATCGAGAAGGTCATCAGTGCAAAACAGCTTTTATCATTATTGCTATAGTAGCATGGGAAGGGGTACCAGCAGAGATGGCTGATGAATTGTATTCTACTGTTGTACACAAAACGGTAAATTTTGGATTGCCAACACAGAGACGTTGTGGCATGAATGAACTGTGAGTATACTTTCAGTATTAAAGAAATCTAGTATGATTTTGTTTTTTACTGATATGTAATAACTTTTCAATCCATTGAAAGTTTGATTTGTTAAGAGTATGTGAGTACAGTGACCACATAATTATTTCAATTAACTCGCTTCTGAGCAAAAAAATAAATTTTAATTCTTGACAATTTTACCATGCATGCATTCTGTTGAATAAAAATTATAGGTAACAATAAGATTAAGTAAAAAGCACATAAATCCAAAAATATTATGTCATAGTATAGAAAAGAAGATAGACCTGGTGTGATTATGCTTCATTTTCTTACTTTTTATTCCACTCGGAAAAAAACTTTTCTTCTTTGATGTGATTAGTAGAAGTGAGCAGTTAGTGTCATGTAAATTAATCAGTTAATTAATCAAAATCAGTATTTCAGATTATTACTGTTTTTAATTATTTCACTTATACAAGTAATCAAAACATTGCCTTTATGATTTCTCATTATTATTTTCAGTTAATTCAGACTTATTCAGCTAAATCGATTAGTGCCACGAATCCTGAAAATAATCAACTAATTGAAATAAGGGTTTCTTATCTTTACTATTTTTCAATTATTCCAACTATCCAAGTGATTGAAATATTGCCATTATGATCTCTTATTATTATTTTTTCAATTCATTCAAGTACTTTTAACTTTGGGCCAACATGGCCTGATGATTATGGAAGATGTCTCATGATTAACCACTGGTAATAATTATTGGACTAATCATTTGCCAGTAATTAGTGAGATTGGCCATATTTTTTATAATAATGGTCAATTATTTTTAAAAGGAGAAAAGTCCTTTAATTTTTTTTGTCAAAATACAGTGATTTTCTGAGAGCAATTATGAAAATATTTTATAATCTTATATCCATAGTTTTGGTTCAGTTAAAACCAACTCTTATTCTAGAAATCCTGTATGTTATTATGATTAACATTTTCCATGCGATAGTGATATATCTTGTGTATCTCTATGTTTCTGATAAGATGCGTAACCTCCACTCACATATAGCTTTCCTGATTTGGTGCTGCCCTCTATATGGAAACGTTTATGCTCACCACTAACCGTGAGGCTCCTACCTAAACTCACATTTTTCGACTTGATTTTTGGATAAAAAATGATAAAGAATAAATTGGCATTCTAAAGGAAAACTTTATCCTGTGTGATATTTTGGGCAGACCCCTTTGTCAGGCAGTTGTTTTATACTTATAAAGTTGATGATTTTTTTAAAGTATTTTAAGTTCTTGATGGAATTAAAAAAAAATATCTGAAATATTGGTAACTAAAGATTTTTTGTATTGTTGTGTTTTAAACATATTTTATAAACTTTGAATTCCGCCTAATGAATTATTTTGATTTCCACAAAGAGGTAATCTAATATCATTACAAGTTTTCTTGATAAAATAATAAACATTCTGCTGTCTTTGTTTTTCTAAGATTAGAGTGGATTTGTTTTCACTGAATAATGTATTCTCTACATTTACTAGTTTTATCACATGAAATCGAAGGACAATTATTTTTAACAATGACTTAGTTATAGGATCGAAACCCAACATCAAACATGCTCATCCTTTGAGCCATGAGGGGGTGTTATAGTATGGTGGTCAATCCTATTATTCATTTGTAAATATATCCCAAGAGTTGATGGTATGTGGTTTTGACCAGCTGCCTTTCCTGTAGTCTATCAGCTCAAACTTAGGAATGGTTGGTGCAGATAGGACTTGAGTAGCTTTTCACAAAATTCAACAAACAAGCATCTGTAACAGTGCCATACTGTTTTCCTCTAGCATCAATGATTTTTATATGAAGAATTAATTTATTTAGTAATAACTATCCCAACTTTCTTTAATAATATTATGCTCTTTTGCAAACCTTACCGAGTTTCATTGGTCATGCAGCACCCGTTACCATACTGTGAAGATCTTTTTAAAGGGCATATACAAGGGTAACATCCAATAAAACCTCAAAATTTTATGTTTAGTATTTTTCTGATTTATGATCAATGTGACCAAGTTATGTTATTTTCTTCAACAAAAACTTGGTAGTTTTAGTAAAGTAGTTTTGTATAAACATTTGTAGCGAGAAACCCAAGGAATAATATTAATTGTATTTTCATGTGACATTGTGTATATGATATATTTTCATATACAGTAGTTTAGGACTAAAAACGTATCTTAATTCTAAATTGTTGTACCTGATGATATTTATCATATTAAATTAAGGATAGTTCAAAAATGTCTTTTAAAAAACCAAAAACAAGTTAGAAATAGGATTATAGTCTCAGTTTAGGGACTATCTTAAGTATTCTAAATTTAAAAATTTCTAACTCAATAGTAAATTTGATTAAAGCACAAAAAATGCATTCCATGTAACTTTGAATTGTCACTCTATAGCTGTACTTTAACAAGATAAGCAGTTATATGGCATTTTAGCAGTTGAGTAAATCCTAATTTAGCCTATGTAAAACAATAGTTACTTAAGCAATTATCTGTGACCAGTAAAACTTGAAGGGCACTTAACAGGACAGTTTTCCTTATATCTTCATTATTTTATTTCTCTGACTTTTGTGATGAAACAAACTTCAAATTAAACTGTGAAAGACTGACTTTTATAACATGTAATTAATCAATATCTTTGATTTTTAAAAATATTCGATATTCAAAATATATTGCCACCAAAAATGGCATAGATACATAATTGCATACACCTCATTACAGCAGCCTCATGAGCATTTGAAACTTGGCATTCACAAAGTTTAAACTTTGAATTTCAATAAAATTATATTATATAATTCCATATACTAATGTAAGACTATGTTATTACTATTTGAAAACAAAAATATATTTTTGTGAAAAATGCTTAAACTTACTAGGCATGCCTGATTTTGTTTACTGGTGGTTCTCCTTATTAACATGGACAAGTAATTTTGGAAATGGAAATGAAGGAACATTATAAGAGTGATTGATATGCACAGCCAGCTTGAGGACCTTTTATATGAATAATTACAATCTGGTGAAAAGCAAGCATGACAATACCAATCGCAGTGCCATTTGTGGATTGTATTGATCCTACTATATGGTAGTAATTTATTAGTTGAGTGTAATTTATTAATGCGTTCAATGATTAATCAATTAACATATTACACTAATAGCCCAACTCTACTGATTATTGTAAGATAGGACTTAGTACTTTTTAATGGAAGTTTCTAATTAAGTGAAAGGCTTGTAGAAAACATTTTAATTTGAGTTTCATTCTTGTATGGAATTTAAAAATAAGTAGTGAAAAATTAGAAACTTTAAATATTTTTATTCAGTTATGAAATACTATTTTCACTAGAGCCATATAGAAATAACCCATTAAAATAAACTGTGTATTCACTATTGTTTTCTTCTGTTGACACTGTGGTTGCTTGACTTACTCTAAGACCAAGAATACTGAATGATAGTAAAGTGAATTCAAACAAAATAATGAATAACTAATTGGTTTGAAAGTAAATAATATGTTGTTAGTCCTCACCCAAATAATCTGATTTGTAAGTGACATAGATAAAAATTGATAATAATTACAGTTCACTTACTGTATTTAGTTCACATCAAAGCAGCCATTGTTCATGAAAGTTGGTGGCATATATATAATACCTAGACCACTATTATGTTTGTTGTGCCACAGCTCGGATGATCAGCCCAAGTATTGGGGAAAATGCCTCATTGTTATTGGATGTTGCAGATTTAGTGTGGTTGACATGTAATATACTCTACTTTACTTGTATATATTGCAAACTTTGGTGTCTGTCCGAGCATTTGTCTGGTCTCCCACTTGAAAAGCTGTGCATGCTGACAAAGCTCAACATTCACTTTTGAAATGACAGGAGCACAGACATGAATAATGTTGATGTCAAATTTTGTTTCACAAGCAGGATATTCAACACTAAATTGTTAAGAATTAATCACACGATCAGTCGCATTTCAAAATGTGACTAAAAATGTAGATTTACTGTATGTTATTGTTGAGCAGCTTTTAGCATGACTGAAATGCTCAACAATTACTTTTTACAGTGGGCAGTAGAAGTAGCTCAGAGCTTTAGATCTGAGTGAAACCAAGAATGCAACATAATTTACATTTTTAAAGTCCATGAAATAACTTAAATTGATAGATTATCTTAAACTTTTCCCATCACTGGGGACTGGTACTTTTGCTTATTCATATACAAGTTTTTTTAATTATTATTTACAGAGTAGACTTATTATTTGTGCATAATTGGTCATAAGTATACAATGAATAATTCATAATAATATAATGTTATTATGTCATTTGAAATATCCTTTTGAACATAGCTTAATCTTATTATTAGCACAAGTGACATATAAAGGTATGTAGACAAAAGTACTTGCTGAGTTAATGATACTTACATACTATCTGTTCTCCATAAAGTAAGAAAGAATGAGTTTTTTTGTATTGGAGGGAGTTGGTTATCTGACAGGAAATGAAGCTATATGCATCGTCATGATGGTATAATATATGCTGATTGAACAAAACATAATTTTTGGAAAATTTTGTTTAAATATCTGAAAAACTCAGTGAGTGTTTTTTGTAAAAAGAAAAAAAAAAGCAGTATCATGAACAGAGGTCCAGGAATTTAAACAAAATATTACACCATAGATGCTACCATTATGTTTTATTTCCTTTAAAAGGACTGGCATTTAATATTTGGGTCATGCAGTACTGTTTTTGTATACTCTATTTAATACTTGTTGAATTTATTTCAATAAAATAATGTCAGAGATTATTATAAGTATATGAAACTTATTAGGCTTATTGGAAACTCCTAACAACTTTTATCAATGACTGTGACAACAGTGAATTGTATTGTCACCAAACTGTTAGTAAAGTAAAGCTCATTTACATAGTTAATGCCAAATACAAATAACTTTTTTTATAGAATCAGAAATTGTTTATTTTTTATCTGAAAATAAGATGTGTGCTTTTTATCTTTCTGCTTTAATTAATTTTTGTATGCTTTTGCTGTTATTTAGAATTATGCAATATTTAAAGTGCATTTTTTCACATTTCTTTTTTTTCATTTAATATAATGAAACCAGTTCAGAATGTACAATGTATAGAATTTTCTGTGACAGGTCACATTCTGTTAATTCAAGATCTAATAATGGATTTTTTAAATTTCTTGTATTTAATGATAGCATTATACTTCAGATATTGACGATTAATCACAGTTTCTAAGAACAATTTGCATGTGCTAATACAGTGGTCAATACAAGTGTATGTGTGTTATAACACCACAGCCTACATGCATAGTATCTATATATCTGGTTTAAATTGAGTTCTTGAACATAGAATAGTGTAATGCAGCCAAGGGTAGAATTATGGCTGGAAGATTGGCACAGATTCTTCCATTGATTAATGTTCATGTAATAAGATTTTTTAAATGATACAAAATCAAAGGACACTAAAATTGAAAGAAGAGAACCTTCAGTGTTCCTCACTGAAATGGAAAAACGCTGTTATCTGCTGAGTGAAGATTATTGTGTCGGAAATTAACCTTCTGTCTCAAAAAAGCCTTTTCAGTAAAGCTGGGCATATTTTCTGGTACTGTTAAGTAGATAAGTATAAAAATTCAAAGTTGATGAAAGTTCACAAACCAGAAATTCGTAAGTTTCCATTCACGTCTCAAAATTAACAACTGTTTTTGTGAAAATGATAGCCAGAGAAACTGGAATCACAGCAATCCCATTCAACCACATACTGCCATTAGTCTCTCGATGCAGATCCAATAGTCTTTTATGCCTTTAATCTGCTTTAGTGTGGTCTTAGAAGCTATGTTTATGTCTAAGATTGACTTCACTATACTTCATGTAAGGTTGTTACAAAGGAAATTGCTTTATTGGCCATCAAACTGAGCATAGATGATGATGGAGGAAGTAGTTACAACAGAAGCATGGGGAACTAAAACTTCAATTTTAACAAAAAATGTGATTAACACTCAGCATTTTTATAAAAGCAAGGTTAAAGCTAACTTTATTAAAACTATTATCTGAGATTGATGAGGAAAGAAAGAAATGTGTGATGTTAATATATTATAAAAAGATTTGGAAATTTGATGAACAAAGACTTACTACTGGAGACATTGTAATTTGTATAATTGCATGTCTTATAGGAGTAATTATAATAAACATTAGAAAGAACTAGATGTCTGCATATATATATTTTAAACTTTGTTTTTTTAACATAAAAGGAAATGTCTATGAAATATATTTCTTGTCATTTTAAGTAAAGTTAAAATTATGTTTTAAGTGTTTTGATGAGTCTAAATAGCAAAAATTAGGCAAACATTTAAAATTTTAGATTTAACTACTAGAAAAAACCAGATGTGGATTTTCAGTATAAACAGATTAATATAGGTTAATAAAGATACTATTGCAAATCCAGATGTTTTTTTTTTTAGTCTTTGTTAAAATGTATCATTAAAAGAACACTGAATCACGCTTTGTAGGAGAAACTGTGCTTGTCAAGGCCTTGACCCAGAAACATGTGGAGCCTCATTTTCTTTTGGTTGTTCATGGAGCATGTATTACAATGGATGCAAGTTTGCTAGAAGTAAAGTAGTCAGAAAGTTTAAATTATCTGAGCAAAAAGAGGTTTGTACCTAATTTAGTGGTAATGTGCATGTGCTTTATAATTCTTTTTATGATACATCTGCTGCTATATATAAACCAAGATGATGTAGAAAGTATCCAAAGGCTTAAACATAACCCCAGATTGATTTATAATCTTTATTATTGCTTTCCAATTTCTTGCACACAGTTTTTGGTGGTGAGATACGAAAAGTTGTGACATTGCAAGGTATCAACTCTATACATTTCTCAAACAAACAATATGATGTTTTGTATTGGAACTATCTATTTAAGTAAATTACGAATATATAAATGTTAAACTGGAGAGCAGTTTATAGTTTGTTTTGAATATTAATTGCATGTTACAACTGATTTCTTTCCACTTTATCATTCTTTTTCCAAACATCTAACAAAGGGAATTCTTGTACTTGTACTGAATTTATTTACTGTTAAGTTATAAGTCTTTCATGGTCATTCATTTTCAGTTTGAGATGTATAAAGATTTTTTATCTACTGTGGTGGCTAATATTTAAAGTAAACATATATACTGCTTCAAAGTGGTGCTATCTTTTGTTATTTGTCATTATAATTCTTACAATTTTTACTGAGTAATGTAAAAATATAAATTTTCATCATCATTATTATTATTAACCTACTGGCCAACTTCTTAGTTCTGTTGTAAGGTTTCAATTGTTTGTTGTGATGAAGTTTCAAATTACAAATGTTATGTAGAAAATCATTTATTCTCTATTTTAGACCACTCTAAGCCAGAAATATTGTATGTTGCTGTTATATTGTTGCATTCATAAATAATCACAGGATGGCTTTTTAATTATTAGTTTTTTAAATTATTAAGGAAGAAGAATTAGAAGACAAAATCCAAAACCTAGCCACAGAAGTTGCTCCTTTGTACCAAATGTTAGCTCCTGAATCATATAATAATCAAGTGGGTATTAATTCATGAAATTTATTCTGTCAAGTGAATTTCAATTGAAGTGACAATTACAAATGCAATCATTTCATTATTAATGTAATTAAACACATTATTGTTTTGTGCCTGACAACCCACACTCTTCCTTGTTTTACTTTTGGTAATGTTTATGCTTAATTTTAAGATCTATGTACATACATACATGTGGTCTTCTGTTAGGTTTTGTTGTGATAAATTATCCATGCAGTATTCAGGTGGACTGATATCTGACAAATAAAAATCCAGCATCAACAAAATGTAAGTCCTACAAATGTTAAGTAGAAAAATAATTTTGAACATAATCTGTGAAAGAAATCCAAACTTATCCAAATGTAAAGATAACATAATCTTTCATACAGTATCGTAAGTTTTTAACCTACTGGCCAACTTCTTAGTTCTGTTGTAAGATTTCAATTCTTTGTTGTGATGAAGTTTCAAATTACATCTAAATCAGACAAAGACAGGAAATAAAAAGATCCAGAATTATGTAGATATCCTTTCAAGTCACACTGGAGTCCTAATTTGTTATTCTAGAATCATTAGTGTAACAGCTGGCTGATAGGTGGTCACTGGGTTCAACTTCACACAAGTTACAAATGAAGTTATTTTAAATTCAGGTTATGTAGTTGTGGGTTAAGCACACAAGCCACCAACTCAAGGAATTTGCATGTGAAATAAAGAAATTCACTCGGAGACAGTCGTAATACAAACACAAAATATATTTTTTATTACAAGCTATTGATCAACTCTTCTACATCAAAGTTTTCATAGTTATCTTGAGATAATAAACAACTCAAACTATCAAACTCTTTGTTTTGAATACTGGTATGTTCATTAATCAACATTGAATTAGTTATCTATTAAAGTCGTACAGGAAATTCCTTCAGTTATAGTTTTTATTATACAACTGCAATAGCAAATCTTCCAATATATCTCTTAGCAATACAATTAAATTATTTACTAGTCTCACTAAATCCTCAATACAATTAATGTTTTTCACTTTTCTCTCTTCAGACATTATCCATTATTATCCACTGTTTGGCTAGATCAGAGATAGCATTACTTCCAAAAAGTTTGTGTGACAAATTTCTTTGAGGGTTTGTAACACAGCTATGATAATAAGTACACTTATCAGTCTGAACCAACTAGAATAAGATGATTCCAGGGTCAAAAACAATTTTTATTTTTTACAGAATGTTCTGTCTTTATGATTTCTCAATAAGTCCAGTGGATTTACTTTCCCAAGTAGTTCCTTCAACTTAATTGGTACAAGTGAAATCTTTCACCAAACTACAACCATAACCACTTGTTAATTGGTTTGTATGGAACTATTTTTCAGTAATTATTCATTGACATTGGCATAAACACCCAAGATTATTAAATCGGAATGTATAGAGACAAATTGAGTGACTTCAGTCTTTTTACAGGTACCCTTCCACTTGTTGATTCTCTTTAAAATTCCATTAATGATTTTTTATGAAGTTACTTTTTGTAATGATGATTTCAAATATAAACATCTGTTGCTTTCTCTCATGGAATTGTGTCTGTTCATTGCTGGTAATCATAACTGTTTGTTCCCATACTTCTTATGTCAAGACCTGGAAAATATGTCCAGCTAACTCATGTGTTTTGAGTTTGTCTCACCCTTATTTGATAATGTGGTTTAAGGTGGATGCAGCAGACAGCTCGCAGTTGCTTTGCTCTAACAAAACAACAAAAAAAACGAAAAGGAGGCCACTTTGGGATATGCTGCTTTTGCTTTATTTTTCTGTTGGTTCTTTGAATGTGTGATATTTGAGTCTTTTTCACAATTTTTTTGAGCTTGCAACTCAATTCCATGGCTGAAAAGTCTGGGAGCAAATTTTTTTCTCCATACACAGAAATTGTGATTCATGCTGGAAGGTTTACTTCTTAGTTACGTGAAAGGACAGTTAGGCCTTATACGACATGTTGTTGGAACTTCGTGATTTCGCCTACCACCACCAGGTGGAAGCATTTTACCAACTCTCAAATAATTTCTGCTCCTCGAATTTTAGAGTTCTAATGCGGAATTTGTAGTTCACCTATATAGGTCTGTGTCTCCTGATAGGACAGAGTAAGTCCATGGACTTACAATTCTCCTTCATCATTTTGTTTCCATTCCCTTCTCTTCGTTAGAACACTCAAGATCACCAGTTTCATTGAGAATGAGCTGGATCCATTGTTAGCATGCACGTTGGTTTAATTTTCAGCTCCTGCATTCCTCCTGGTTGTTGTTGGAGTCTTGAATTTCATCGGCTCCTACAAGGGGGTTATAGTTCTGCCCCTATTCGTGAGTACCAATCTCTGACATCAGCTCCTAGGGAACATTGCTACTCAGAATAGATTCTCTCTATATCCAAGGTTTCCAATGCTTAGTCGGATTCCCATCAGTGTCGGATGATTATGGTATACATTGATGTAATGTGAGGGCTCGGTTCCAAGATTTTCTGGATGTGTGGTAATCTTACCCATCAGTCCAGAAGTTCTGCAGATCCTTGGGTTAAAATTGATCATTCAGTTCACATCTTCACTATTATTATCCACTCAACCTGTAGGGTTTCCACCTCCTGCAGTTCATCAGGATTTGGAACTTAGTTCTAGGGTTATCTGAGTCTCGTTGGTCTTGGGGTAGTGAGAGAGTCGGGCTAGTTCTTGAGAGTTTTTATTACTGTTAGTTGTTGGGCCTATGAAGACAGGGGATTGGTGTTCAGTCATCAATCTTCATTGTCTATATCAATGCCTAGATTCTCCAAGGTTCACAAGTTAATTCATTCCTTAATCTTGTTGATTGTTTTGTTGGGATCATAGATGTCCAACTTGGTTGTAGTTGGCTCTTATCTGCACTTGTCTTTATGGTGAAGTCCACCACTATCAACATTTTTGGTGCACAAGGGACAGGTACTGCAGTTCCAAGTTTTTTCCTTCAGCTTGGATCAGTTGTTAGACCATCACATCCTGCTTCTGCTATCAGATACAACTCATACAAGCTTCTCTTTCGGGACTGCGACATTTGTTCTTGCTCCAATTCAATATGTCATCAGTCTGGGTATTTTTTATATTTCAACTCATCTTTCATTTGGGCTCAGCTGTTTCCCATCCTGCTCAATGCTTTAGAATAGGATGCTGCACTCTTACTCACCTCTCCTTGTCCCACTGTACAGATGATTCTCTCTTCTGGGAATGTGGGAATCACTCAAATCCTTCGTGCCTTTAGGACAAGAACACAAGCAATCCTTTTATTGGTTTATAAGTGACTAGGGATCATACACATCTATTTTCCTTACTCAGAATCATTCTTCAATCTCAAGGGGTTAAGTTGGGATTCTACTACGAATTGGGTTCTTCTACTGCTGCTTCGTCCAGAGTTCCATTCTCTTTATGAATTCCTTGCTTCAGGGATGGGGTACATATACCAACAGTCAGGAATTCCAGAGTATGCACAGACAACAAGGATTCTGTACACAGTGTTTTTGTCCTTCTTGCTCTTCAACAAGCAAGTCTCATGGTGTGGGCTTCTTAAGGGATAAATCATCAGGCTTCACTCTGACTATTCTGCAGTGGTGCCTTATGTTTCTCATCAAGAAGGAATGTGATCTAGGGCTCCTTATTCTTGAATTTTGGACCTCCTTTCTCAGGACTAGTCTTACTTATCACATTTCTAGCTTGCCATGTTCCACAGGTGTGATGCCTGTGGTGGCAGGTCCATTGTCTCACTCCAGACAGATTCTCCCAACAGAATAGATGTTGCATCGCAAGGTTCAGTTGGATTGTCTTTCATTTTGCGACTCTTAATTGGTTGGTTGGCCTCTCATTGGATCACCCAACAACTGGCAATTTGGTCTCCAGTACCTTGTCTTTTGGCCTTGGCAGTAGATGCTTTCTATCTGGATAGGACAAGATTACCACACTCAGTCTTCTCTCTACTTCATATATTACCCAGAGTATGAAATATGATTTGTCCCAACCCATTGTCAAATCTTGTTGATCATACCAGATTGGTGGATACACCTGGGTTTCTGCTTCTGCAGTTCCTTCTAGTGTGTCCAACTCTTCCACTTCTTTTTAGGCTCTCTCTCTGTGGAAGCAGCCATGTTTTCACAGGATCCCACTCTGTGGCGAGTGTTGCCCAGACAGGTGTGCTTTTATCAAACCAATCCTGCACTAGCAGTCACTGTTTCACTATAATTACTACCACTTGCAACAGGCTCTGTAGAAATGAGGTGTTACATAAAACCACTTAGAAGCTCACCAGGTGGTAATACCATACTATGCTGGATCGCCACTCATGGACTATCATGAGTAAAGGCAATGAGGATCCTGCCTGTTGAGGTCAGTTTGCTTTTAAACATGTAGGGAAATTGGTTTACCTATTGCACTATTTCCAGAGCATTGTTCCTCAGGACACCCCCAACATGTATTACCCCTCCTCAGATTCTGCTAGTGGAGCTAGGGAGTCCTAACCACACTCAATTTCCAGTCACTGAGGTGGTAGACAGAGGCTTTTTCTCCAGGGTGTTAGAGTGAATTACTCCACTCTTGGAGAAGAGAGCGAATGAAGTTGGGGACCCTCCTACCCGGGTCCTTGGATGTTGTTTTTTTTCAGATATTGGTAGGAATGGTGCCAGCCTATGCAGGAGCCTACTCATAATACTGGTTCAGATTTGATGCTCAGCTATATTTTTAAGATGTGCATGGCCCCTTTTTTGGTCAATATCAGTTCAGTATGTTGTTCATGGAAGGAAGTTCATTATCTCTTTGTAATTTTGAATGTGGAATGGTCCCATCCTGGGTCCTTGGTTGAGCACAGTTGTTCCACGTCCTCCCCATAATTCCAGGGCCAAATAGAAGGCCCCTTGCCTACTCGAGTTTGGGAGTAAGGATGAATGTTCATGATTTCAGACCAGATGAGTTCTGTTCCTTTGGTTGAGTAAGACGTACACAATCCCATCATTCCAAGCCTGGGGTGTTACCTCTTGCGCTTCTTCAGGTGGAGGAGAAGGTTTGTCTGCTACAGGTTGGGATCCAATCAAAAGTATATCTATATATAACATTGTGGTCCAATTGCCCTAGCTACCAACATGTAATATAGGGACTAAGGCCCCTTTATTCCAACCCCGAGTAGTGGAACCTCAGCTATCTGGTTGCAGCTGACCTATAGTGATGATTACTCATGTACAATTCTATTCTTGATAAAGGAACTAAGTTCAGGGTGAAGAGCATATCTATTCTGGATGTAGTGCAGTTCCCCCACTCAGGTACCACTCTTTTTCTTGGTACACCCATGATCTGTGTAGATGCTTTCTGTATGGATAATGCCCTCACTGGCCCCTCCACCTTCTCAGTGTGGGATTCTAGCTATAAGTATTTCCAATAATACTTACTTCCACTGACACTCTTTTGCCCTTCCTCCCCACTAAGAGCCAGTTTTAGGGACTGGGATGGTATCAGTCTCGAAAAAGTGATAAAATTATCTGAATGAGGTACTCATATACAGTACCAGTATAGAGAGTGCATTGACATTGGTGGAAAGTATCATGAGACAGATATTGCCAAGGGCAATTGAGTGGGGTATAAAAGACTGGAGCAAGGGAGAAATTTCAGACTAATGCTTAGATTGGCAAACAAGAAACTCTTGTGGTCAAGTAATAGCTATAAGTGTCAGTGAAGGTAAGTATTATTAGAAATACGTGTTCAATGTAGGAACATGTTAACTATCAAATTAACTTATTTAAGGGCAATAACTCCACAACTCATAGTTACATATATGAGCCTCCCACCCCTTAAAATACATATGACCTCTCTCCAGGAAGGATGGCACAAAAATAGGGCCAAACAAATATAGATTTATGAAATGATAAGCATTGTAGTACGTAAACTTTTTCTAAGGTAAAGGATTATTGCAAGTAAACTGATTTCTTCCCACTTTATCATTGTTTTTGGTGCATCCAATAATGGCAGTCTTGTAAACTGTGCTGAATTTATTTTTTGAGTAATGCATCTCTCATGGCAATATATTTTCAGTTTGAGATATTTAAAAGTTTTGTATCTACATTGATGGTTAAGAAGCAGATAAGTATTGCTTGAATCTAGTGTCATCTGTTGTTAATTTTCAGTATCATTCTTAAAATTTAACTGAATAATTTAAATGTATAACAAATCTTCATATTTATTAGTAAACGAAAAAACATCCTATTATGTTGGAGTTCTCCATCTTTCTCTGGTTATAGAACTATTTTGATACATAAAGTTGAAATGCAATACAAGCTGGCTTTGAAAGTTAAAATTGAGAAGTATATTAATCCAAATTTATAAATGCAGATATTCTTAAAGTATAGTCATGTTAATAGTAATAGTGTCTCAAAACAATATTATACACAAACTAGAATGAAAAAAAAAGAAGATTTTCTAAACTTACAAAACTGCTGATAGGTGCAGTTTGAAAAAGAAGCCAAAGTTTGTCGAATTGGTCGTAAGCCAGGAAGACCTTTTTCAGGTGTTACAGCTTGTGTTGACTTCTGCGCTCATGCTCACAAGGACCTCCATAATATGAATAATGGTTGTACAGTGGTAAGTATGCTTTAATCTTTACATGTAAAAACCCTCTTAAATTGATAAGGTTTGAGCTGTAAATAAACTTTCAAGGACTTCCATAAGATGAATATTCATTGTAAAGTAGTTAAAACATTTCATCTTTGCAAACAAAAACTCTTACACAGTGAATGGTAACTGGGTTTCCATGCATCCTGGGAAACATGAAAATTTCCAAAGTTAACTTCCAGGCCTGGAAAGGTCCTGAAAAATGGAGAAAAACATAAATGTACTGGAGAAGTCATGGTGAACTGTGACTTTATGAAATCCATTATCTAATTTAATAACAGTTAATTATTTCATTGAACAACTAACTTAATCAAAATATGGTTAATTAAATAAATGTAAAAGAAACTGAAAAGGGATGAAGATGGGTTTGATACAAGCAATGATGCAAAACTATAGTATCATGAAAAATGGCTGAAATGTCCTGATTCATTCAACATGAGGATTTATTAGCTATGGTTAGTGCAAGGTTTTAGAAGCTGTGAATGCTCATGTAGTTGGCTTTGCATTCAACAGTTACAAACATGACTGTTTTCTTATAGTGAAAATGTAAAAGTACAGAGACAGAGTTTGATACGCTTTAAGTGAGAAATGGAGGACTTTGTTATTAATAGTATACATATTTTATCCACATTCT